TTGTCCCGTCTATCTACCTGATTTGGAGGTTATTGGATAGGTTGACAATTCTTATATTTTCAATTGATTAATAAACTAACAATCTAGTCTGGCTACAGGTAATGATGAGTCCCTAAAGTATTTAGTATATAAAATTTTGCAGATCACTTATGTTCCTTTTTGAGGGACAAAATTTATAACTCTTTACTTTAATAGAAACAAAGTCAAGAAATATTATAAATCAATAATTTGGATAATGGAGAACAATTATAGATAGTTTTTTTATAGTTATTAATTTAAAAATTTTAATGTTTCCTAGTGAGAGACATTTGACATTTATCCCTATCTCTCTCTTTAGGACCCCATCTTTAGCTACAGGTAAAGATGGATCCCTAAAGAGAAAGATAGGAACAAAAGTCAAATGTTTCTTATTAGGAAACATTAAAATTTTTAAATTAGTAACTATAAAAAAACTATCCATAATTGTTCTTTATTATGTAAATTATTGATTTATAATATTTCTCACCTTTTGTTTCTATTAAAATAAAGAGCTATAAATTTTGTCCCTCAAAAAGGGACATAAGTGATCTATGAAATTTTATATACTAAATATTTTAAGAACCCATCATTAGTTAAAAATACTCAAAAAAAAAATATTATTAATATAGTATATTATGAAATATATAGTTTATTATTAAATAAATAGTATAAATAGCTTATTAATATAAATTAAAAGATAAGAATTAGATATCCATAATTATACTATTATTTTTTTAAGTATTTTTTTACAACAAATATTTTTTTCTTTTGTTTATATATTTGATTTACTGATTGAGTTATACAAGATATTAAAAATTAATAATAAATTTATTAATTAATTTATAATAATACTAAAATTAAATATAATATTTATTTTTTATTTTTTTTATTAAATTTCTTAAATAGTAAAAAAAAAATTTTTTTAAAAAAACCAAAGTCTTTCAATTTTTATTTCAATTAAATAAAATTTTTAATGACTTATTTATTTAATTAGATAAAATTTTTTAATATATATATTGATATAAAAAATGCAATAAGTAAATTTATATATCAATTAAAAGATAGATTTTTTAAATATTTTTAAAAAAGTTTCATGACTTAAGTTTCTCAGATAATATAAAGCTAGAAAATATTATATTAAGCAAATTTCTTTTAAAAAAAGATTATTAAATTAATTAAGAAATTTTTGAAAAAGTCTTGAATTATTTTTCTTTTTTCTTTTTATTAATTTAAAATTAGCAAATCATCATTTTTAAAATAATTTATAGTAATAAACTATTGACAATAATTTTAATAGATACTGAACTAATAACAATTTATCAGGGAAATAAAATATTATTCCTAAATCTAACTTAAAATACAAAGTCTCAATTTTGTTTTGTTTAATCCAAATTAGTTATCATGTAAATAGTTAATGTAACATTGCAAATATTTTTTAATATCTCAATAAATACATACCAAGATGCATAATTGTGAGTTTAATAATAATAATTGCAGATTAAAAAAAAAAAAAAAAATTGCGTATACTTTTATAATTTTAATTTCTCTCAAATACTTAATTCGTCGAAAACTTAAATAAATATCGATACTAAGAGTTTTTTATAAAAGATATGTTATAATTGTCACTTTATTACAATATACTGAACTAAACGCATCAAATATTAGAATGGTATGATACCAAGTAGTGACATTTCTTGTTTACTGACTTTTGTCTAGTACACCACGCTCGCTAACATAAATACCGTCCAAGAACTTACGAATATCCTTGTTTTTGACGGTAGTTGACTGTTGAATGTCTGCGGCTGTAAAATCATGATTCCTTTATAAATATGCATATTTGAAAACAAATTCAAAGAACTATTAAGTAGTTGCATCTAGTACCTGATTGAGAAACCATTTCCAAATCATTTCCAGTTAAAATTATTTCATCTTTCTGAGTGGAAACTTTGATTTCAACCCCATCTAACATTTTAACCCGTCTTATAACCTTTTCACCCAAAAAATTACGAATTTCTACACTTTTTCCATCCTCGATGTGAACATTGATTGGAAAATGAGCATAAACATATCTCATCTTATATTCGAAACCCTAAATTTTATTTAGATAGAATCATTAAAAGTTCTAAACTAAAAAAATTTTTAAGCAAATAGAATACCTTGGTAACTCCCTTAATCATGTTTTCAATATGAGATTTGACAGTACGCAAACAAGCAACATGCTTACGAGAACCGTGCCACACGATAAGTTTAATTCGATTATTGGTTTTTCTTATCTCCAAATCGATATGACGAAGATTTTTTGTTAAGGTACCACGTGGTCCGGTGACTTTTATGTTGCGAGATTTAATGGACACCGTCACCCCTTCAGGTATGGTGAGCTCTTCTTCTTTGTAAATGTCCTTCATTTTGGTTAATTTTCTTTTTATTTAGAAATATAAATTCCTCAAATTAAGATCAATTGATTCATGTTTGAGTAAAGAAATTTCAAGATTAAATGAGATAAGACATTACTTACCAGACCCAACCGACACTTGGTTAACAGAATGTCAGTTATAGGGAGAATTGCGAGAGCACGATCGCAAAAAAAATTTTTTTTATCATACATTGAATAGTGTGATTGGCTGCATTCATGCCAATAACAAATTTCGATCTAATCAGTATACTATATGTATAATTCTTGCGTTTTTTCTTTACAAATTTAACTTAAAAAAATATTTTAATATTTTTTTCTGAAGTCCATATACAGTATTAAATAAATAATTGTTAGATAAATATTTAATATATTTTTCTTAAATATTTTTCAATATTTATTATTAATCTTAAATAATATAAAAAAGTATTATATAAATTAAACTAATTTTAAAAAATTGATTAATTTATATTCTTATTTTATTTTATTATTATTTTTTTTGACAGGAATACAGAGGTCCAGTTTTATTGAAGTTGTAGCAGCGAATTAATAAGGTACAATTGAAATTAAAGATTAAAGTAAAGGCTATATTACTTTAGATACTATAACTCAACTCCACCTTTCTATATATAGCAACTAACTGTTACAATAAATCCATTTGTCATAACTATGACCCATGTAGTATGTTGTTGAAAGAAGTCCTACTATCTCCTTCCTACATTCAGGCCCTTACTATATTAACTTATCCTTCAGCTGGCTTGTACCTGAGATCCCTTTTATATTTTGTTTCACCAAATATTCTTTTTACACTACCTATTATAGTATGCCTACGGAATATTCATATGGAATCTTAGATATTGTCTTGTTCTGATTGAGTATCCTTTTTATATGACCTATTACAACTTACCTATGGGGTGACCATGTGGAGTCTTGAATGGATGTCAATTTTTTTTGATAGAAACCTTCTTTTAACTAACGTACCTAAGCTTCACTAGTTTTCAATTTTTATGGTGTGCAGATCTTCAGCCTATCTACAAGAACTTGTTAGAACCTGTCTTGTGACGAGGTGACTTCAGCACTAAAATCAACTGAAGTATCTTGTGATCTTTGATTATACTATGATCAAACAGGATCTTATTCAGAGGTAGTAGTGATTATCATGGGGCGAATGTGATTTTCCTGTACTACCTAAACTTAGATGGTCTTTCCTCACAGTAGTATTGAACTTGGAAGCAGTGCATAGTGACCTAGGAGTACTATCACTATACTATTGACTCACAGGTCTTTACTTTTTATAATTCAATGAAAAATTATTTATTTTATATAAAATTTTATAAATAATTTCTTTATAACTAAAAAAA